ATGGAGAGAAGCTATACTCTCTCTCTTTAGCTGCAAGAGGGGGGTTTTAGGACAGTTTTGTGACTTGGACAATGTTCCCCTTTTGTGTGTGTTCAGACGTGATTGCATAGTGGCCTTGTTCTTGTCCCAATCCATCACTGTCACCGAAGGGCCTGGACTGATGTCACTGTTCTGGTCAATTGTCCATGTTCCTCAGGAGGTCCCCAAGGTCTGGCTGTGAGCCCCATGCCAGCTCTGGCAGGTCAGGGGCTGCTTTTTAATATCTCATAACAAAGCAATAGTAGCCATTATGAACCACAAGGAAATTAGCACTGTTCCTGTGTATGGTGAGATTCTTATCCAATAATGTTTCATTGCAATTTCTTTTGAAACACTGGTGTATCATTAACTAGGTATTGCAAATCATGGGATGCATAAAGGGAAGGGAAGGAAAGGGCCTTGGGGTCAAGACAGTACATCTTGCAATATGCAAAGAAACAATGATTGTGCTGTGACCAAGCCAAAGCCCAGAGACTCCAGGAGGCTGCACATGTCCTCATTAGTCCAGACCCTACAACTCCCTGAGCAAATACATCCCCTCACTGGAGTGCTCTCTGCTCACAGCCCCATGAGCCTCTCTCTCAGACCATCACACTTTCTGGACTTCCCAGGATGTCTCCCCACCTCCCCCTGGCAGTGCAATCTCCAACCTCAAGGATGATTTTTGATGAAGACATAAGATGCATCTCACTGCTGTCCTGGAAGATGGGCAGAGCTTCCTCTGGGGGATACCCCTGACTCGGTTCCCTCCACTGCACCATCCCCCTCACACACATCCTGTCTCAATCACGTGCATGTCCATTTACTAGCTTACCCCCTCTCCACCAGGCTTCTAGCTCACACGGGTGTGGCTTCACCCCTTCATTCACACGTGTCTTGAGCTTACTGCAGGCATCTGACAGATACTCTGGCTGTGAAGTGTCCCTGTTGCCTCCACATGCATTGACCCCTCCCTAAGGACTCCCCAGGTTTTTCCAGATCCACAACCAAAGCCTCTAGCTTTGTTTTTGACCCTTGCTTTTTAGTGTTTGGTCCTGGAAAATACCACTGGCAAGAAAAAAGTGACATGTCACAGGAAACTTTCCTTTTTCTCACCAGAGAGCATCTTACTGGATGACATTGCCAACGGTGGCAGGAACAGTTTGTTAAACTTGAAAAGGAAGCTTGTGGCAGAACAGGGAAGGCTGCTTGTCACAGAGCCTCACAAACAAGGATAGAATGTCCTCATGCATGGGGACGATGAGGTTTGATCCTGATGAAAATAAACGGAGCTGACACGTTCTGAGTGCCTCCTGTGTTCCAGGCTGCAGCCAGAAGCTGTCTGAGCAGATGATACTATTACTCATTCATTTGTTGTTCAAGATGGGGAAACTGAGGTTGAATTTCGGTGAGCACATGCTGGAGGTCAGTCAGTGGGGGACAGGACTGGGTTGTGGGTGAGGCTGTAGGACCTGGCACCACTGATCATCACTGTTGGAAACAATAGTGAACTTGCTGGTCACAGATCCTCAGGCAGCTGTCCTTGATCGCTGTCCTCTGTGTGGTGCCTTAAAATGGCCCCCAAACACATCTTGGGAACTGTAGCTGCCTGGCTCCCAGGAACTCATGCTCAGTCAGCCCTCTGCTGCCCAGCTAAAGGCAGTTTTAGGGACTCCTCCAGGGTCCCCTGAATCATGGTATTGAAAAATTTACTTTTTAAAGAACAAAATCATTTTAGCTAAGAATTTCATTCACAACTAGCAAACACAGTACTCACCAGTAAAAAAGGTGATACCGAAAACATGAAATGACTCCTTGACAGCTTTTCTTTAAGACAAACCAAGTCCCTCACTTGGAAATCTCTTCAGTTTGAAGAAACAGTACTCCCCCACACCCCTTAGTGCTTAAAATTTGGGGTATGATGACATACAAGAGCTCTGAGTTGTACATTTTGGAAATTCTGAATTTAATCAAACGCAGTGAAGTTTTCTCCTTTCATGAAGAATTTGAGTCATGACTTTCTCAAGCACATGCTCATCCCCCTCTGTATGTAGAAACATGACATGGGCTGGTCCAAGAAGGCCTCTGAGGTTGTCTGATGCTGTCACACAGGAATCCAAGGCCAAGGATGAGAGAGCACAGGGAGAATGTTCACGTATGGATCGGACTAGAGCAGAGTATCATTTTAATGGGTGGTGAGTGTTGAGCCTTATTATGTTTGAAAAGCATAATGGCAGTTTATATTGCATAGTAGCTTTCAAAGTGCACAGAAGGAAACATAACATTCTTTTAAACTCTAAAGTATTTATTTCTATTCTTCTAATAAAATAGTAATTCAAAGTAACATGGCTTAGAAAAACGCTATGCAGTTAGCATTAATAAAAGACATAAAACAAGAAATGGCCAATGCTTGGTTACTTTCATTTACCACAAAGAGGAAAATGGGAAAATGTAGAAAAAGAAACATTAAGCTCCACAACAACAGAAGAACCTCCAACACAGAGATCAACAGTTTCAACATAAAGTTAAAAACATCAGCCAGGATACTCAAATTACTGAGAGTATAATTTGCCACTAACCTTGTTGTTGAGGTGTAAGCCCATTGTTAATCATTTTTCTGAAGGTAAAGGGCCTTAAAAAGATATGATGAGTACAGGAAAGCAGCACCTCAAATGTTCTTGCTCAAAGCAGCAGAATACTAAATTGCAGCAAAATAAATGAAGTGACAGGGCCACATACCACTCTCTCCAAATTGCTGTGGCCGAGCAAAGAGTGTGTAGAACTGAGACGCCCATTCACTGCCTCTGGAGACATCCTTACACACATGTCCCACCAAAGTACCCGGTTCCACTCTACCTGCCTCTCCCCACCAACATAGGGTAAATCTGATTCAGAATGTCCAGCCTGGAGTGGAACATTCTAGAAATCTAGCCTGGTGTGGACACTACAGTGCAGAATTCCATACTCATTCCTTAAGGATCTCAGGAGAAGCCGGAAACATACTGGGAATTTTCATGTTGTCTAACCCAGACGGACAAATGGAAAATAAAACATGATTGTAACAACTTTCCTACAAGGCGCAACCAGAGCAAAAGACAATGCTCTCACATTCCACCTTGAGCTAGCATTCAAGGCCACAAGTATATTCTCTTCTCTTTGTCTAGACTGGAAGTGGTTTTAAGGGTAGGGCCTGGGAAATACTGCTAAACAGATAAGGCTAAAAGAAGTGAATAACCAATGGATGGAAGTCTTCAAATTTCACTGAATTAGGGAAATGAATGGCAACACAGATCTCTTCCCAGGGTAAATTTTAGGGGCACTGAACAGAACAACAATAGCAACAAAAAGGTAAAAAACAGAAAATCTAGATCCTACATCCTAGGCATTCACCGACTTCTTAGAACTTCAGAGGAAAAGGACAGAAAGAAAAGGAAGGACTGGGCCTTCCCACCAAGTCTGAAGAGGAGAATAATTAAAGAATTTAGGAAGAGGGTCAGAGAGTCAGAGAGCTTTTCTTTCAGAGAAAAATAGACAAAATAGAGGCAATGACAGAAATCTAACATCTGCATTTAACCAGAAAGCTTTAATAGTTTGAGGATACATGATACTTTTTTATTACAAGAAAATACATGTTTTTATATAAGTTAAATGTTGAAACAATTAAAAGACCCCATAATGTCAAGAACAAGATAGATGTGGCACCTGAATCATTATTACTAGCACTGTCACACTGTTCTCAAATGCAATTGGCTTAGAGCAGTAAAAATGGGAAATATTTGGGAAGGAGGTGACAAAAGAAAACCTTCAAAGTAGTTAGAAATCCCATTTATGGGATTATGACACTGATACACAAAATCAACTACTTCCATATATAGGCAATTAGAAAATAAAATAGAAGAAATCAATCCATTGAAAAAAGGTAACCAAATGATAAAAATATCTAAAAATGAACACCAAGAAATTCATGGGACCTGTCTAAACAAAACCTACTGAATGACATAAAATTATATTTGAATGTAAGTCTGGATTATAGGACTCTTGAATAAGAAGACACAATCTATAAATTCATCATGACCTCAATTTAAAAAAAGACACATGTGTATGTGTGTGTTTTTGTTGGGGGTGGGGTGGGGGAACAGGAGAGCTGAGGGGAATGCTGACTTGAAAGTGTTGACATCAGTATGAATATTTGATACTAATATGAAAAAGTATCAGAATTTCAAGGTATTCTTAGAACTATAAATCAACAAAACAGAAAGCAACCCACACTTAGCTTGCAGCAAGGTGGCATTTTGAACAAGTGGAGAAAGATTATAATTGTATTACAGGAATGTGTTGCTATCTATTTTGTTGACACAACTGATTAACCATTTGGAGGAAAAAGTGCATCTTTACCATCATTTTCTGCAATAAATAAATTCCAGAGAGTCAGAAAATGTATAGGAAAACAAATAAAACCATTAATTAGGGTTTAGAAGAAAATATGAGTATGTTTATTTATAATTTCAGAATGGGAACAGCCTTTTAAAACTGGAAACAAATCCCAGGAAAATAAGGATAAATTGATAATACAAAAACTGAAACTTGCCATAAGCCAATAAATAAACAAGCCAATAAATAACATCTAAAGACAAATAATCAACATATTTCAAGGCATAAGACAGAAAGTTTCCAAAGTGCACAGGCAAATTAATAAAAAGTCAGAAAGCTCAATTGAAAATTCTGGAAAGAACAAAAATGGAAATTACCACCAAAATTTGAAAATATTTTCAACTTCACTCATAATAAAATGAAAATAACATTGCAATATCATTTTTCACCAGATTGGAAAAAGTAAGTTTGATAATATCCAATGCTGAGAAAGTTGAAAACTGGCCCCTTGATAGGGGTTTCCATTGATTAATCTAGAGGGCAATCTGGCAATAGCTATCAAAATCCTAAATGTATATAATCTTAAATCCAGTAATTCCATTTCCACATTGGAATTATACCAAGGTATACTCATCAAAGGATGCTAAGACACAAGTACAAGGATGCTAATTATAGATTTGTGTATAAAAATAAAAAACCAGAAAGACTATATGTGTTCACTAATAAAAGACTAATCAAAGAAATTATAGTCCACCAAGACAATGGAAAACTAAGCAGTTATTAAGAAAAATGAGGTAGCTCTTTACATGTTATGGAAATATCTCTAAGATAAAACATTATGTGAAAAAAACAAAGTGCGGAGTGCTGTGCATAGCGTGAGTGGGAGAAAAGCAATGTCTCTCTCCATGCCCTTCCCTCCTGCTTCAACTGCCTTCCTTTCTTCCTCTCTGTAAGGGCCCACATCCCTCCCTCCAGAAGCTCCTCTCCGGCCCTCTGTAAGGAGAGCAAACAGGGAGCATGGGGGCCTTATTTCTAGCCATTCACACTCTTCTAACTATGTGTGTGTCTGTTCCTTACCATATTTTAAAGAACGAATTGGTGATTTGGGTGATCAAAATATGAACTACTTTGCTTACTTTATCAGTTTTTTTAATATAAAATACAGAACTAAAAAGTTTTTTTTAGCAAAAATGTGGGAATGAGCACATTTTGGATAGCAGTTAGAAATGAAGTATTCTTTTTATATCAAAAACATTTCTCCTTATTTCTAAAGACACTTTAATAAAAAAAAAAAGACACTGTTCATCCTTCATCCTTCCCAAGTACAATGGATGGGCTCTGAGGACGACTCAGCTCCAAAAGCGTGATGCTGGGGTGACCTGATCTATCAATCTGTTTGCTCTGAACAAGGGGTTCTCTCAGAAGTCACACACACAGCGTGTGCAAGCCTCCATCTTCCTCCATGCTAAGGAATGCCTGTGCATTACCCAGGAAGGAGTAAAATGACAGCTGGAGAAATACGTGCAGTTTCTTTTGCACTGAAAATCAATCTTCCCTCATGATATACCCACCTTAGAGATTAGAAGCAAATGAACAATCCCCAGGAGCTAACATACCCCACTCAGTTTTGGGCTTTGAGCATTTACTGGGTTAAACAATAGAAGAAGAGACATTTTTCTTGGTGAATTACCCTCTGAGCCCATTCAAAAACAAGAGGAATCGGAAGAGACCCAGTATTGTCAGTGAGATAATCTAAGTAGAGTAGTGTGTGACCAGTTAGGTTTAAAATAATTTCCCTTGCTGTCAAAACACATATCTCTCAATGAATCTATATATCCTGCCACTTTTCTGGGCTGAAGCTAGAGTGGATGAGCCTTAGAGAGACAGGTACCCCAAAGCCAGAAACCAGAGTTGCCTGCTACACAGACACTGTTAGCCTGCCAGTCTCTCTTGGTCCCCTCTACTGGCCTGTTAGGGAAGCCAAAGTCATATCATCCTCCCTGGTTCCTGCTAGGGATCCAGAAAAGGTCTTGGCTTCTACCCCTGGCTCTGACAGGTGAAGAAAAAACAAGTATACTTTGACTTCATGTTGTGCATTTGTATAGATGCACATATTTCTAAGAGTAATCAACTCCAATACATGTGACTCCAATACATCAAATGACTTATTTAAAAAACCACAGATGGTTTAATCTTGCTTTAATTGTTTTATGTTGGGCTGATAGTTCTAATAGAATTCTATTTTTCCTCTGGGTTTGCAAAATAGATAAGACTCACTCACTTCTCCTGTGTCTGGGAACAATGCAGGGAGCCTGGGAATCTGGGATCTGCCTGTAGAAATCCCCTGGCTGGTCTGATCCTGGTTCAGAATGAATACACATCTGTTCTGATTCCCCTGACAGAACAGATTTGCAAAAATCAGGCTGGGAAAGGCATAACTTACAAGACCAACTATGCCTCTGCTTTGTTGTTTGTTTGATTTTTTAAATCTAGAGACAACATAAAACTTTCTACCAACTGTCTTTGGTAGAGGAAAAAAATCAAAATTCTGAATTTTCAAGAAACCATCCAAGAAATATAAAAATGTAGGTTTTGCATTTAAGCATAGTTTGTTTTCCCCTTTCAACAGTCTCTTACTGGACTAGACTTTGTGAGTTTGGTTTACTGTAAGCAGTTTCCATCTAAGTTTGTAGGAGGCAAAAGTTTATGTTAAATTCCCATGAGGCCTCCATGGCAGTGGCATGCAGGCATGCAAACCCACCTACAGTACTGAGCAACCCCCACCTCTCTGAAGGTCTCACTAGGAAGCCGGGAATGGGCAAATGACCTCCCAGGGGCTCTGCTGACCTTGGGGATGCTGCAAGGATATCTAACAGCCTGTCTGAAAGGGTTCAACAAAAGCATGCTAAGATGCTACTACCGAAAGTAACCAGGAAACAGACATGACTAACGACAGCAAAGGTACACAGGCACCCGCACAATGAATGTGGGATGAGCACCCCAAATTCTCACGAAAACGACATTTGCCTATCTGTGCATTTTCTACACGCAGGGGACCAAGACAAATTAAGCAAAGTCTTTGGACACAGCCTCCACGAAGTTGGGAGCCGACATCAGGATGCCGATGGTGCAGATGATGGTGAAGACCGAGAAGGCCATGAGGCACAGGCGGTCCACCACGCAGGCCGCGAACTTCCATTCGCTGCAGATGGCCTCACTTTCGTCCTGGCAGCGGAAGCGGTTGGCAATGTAGCGGACCTCCTCGAGGATCTTGGCCAGCTCGGGGTCCGCGTCGGAGGGTTGCCCGCCGTGCAGAAGGTGGTCGTCGTGTGTGGGCGAGCAAGCCAGGCGGCCACACACGACCCCCGAGTCAGGGGTGGGCGCGCAGTGCATGCCCTCCAGTCCCCGGAAGCCTATGTAGAGCAGGTTGCCGTTGGTGGCCGGTGGCCCTGCCACCGTGCTCATCTCCACGCTGGCCAGGCTGCAGCGCCGCTGCTTGTGCTGGCAGGCGGGGCGCACCTTGTCCTCCCCTGGTCGCTTCATGCGCAGGAACCACGCACACCAGTTCAGGAGAATCACTCTGGTCTGGGGAGACAACAGGTTGGGAGTGGTCGTTAGTGAGCCGGGCGAAAATGTGACCCTCTATTTACAATAGCTAAGCTTTGGAAACAACCCAAATGCCCAAAAATAGGTGACTGGATCAAGAAGATGTGGTCCATATACACCATGGAATATTACTCAGCAATCAAAAAAGATAAACTCATGCAATTTGCAGCAACATGGATGGCGCTGGAAGGGATCATGCTCAGTGAAATAAGCCAGAAAGAAAAAGAAAAATACCGAATGGTCTCACTCATAGCAGGAATTTAGAAAACCCAAATAAGGGACCAGGAAAAAGACTAACTATAATAAAGAAAAAATCAAAATCAACAAGCAACTATAAACCAGAGACACACTGCAGGGGTTGGCGGGGAGAAGTAGGATTAGGGTCAAAATAAGGGGGTGCAATTGTATGGGGAATATTACATATATAATATTTCATATTACATATGAAAAATGAAAAATGATGTAAGAATTATATAAAATAAAATATTAAAAAAAAACCCTGACCCTCAACTACTTGCTCTACTCTGTGGCTCCCAGGGGTGCCAGGACCCCAGGTGAGTTGACACAGGACGCAATGCCAGCACGTTCCAAAGCACATTCAGACAGGTGGTGGGAATCAAGTTACTGCGTAATATCAGGAAGGAGCTGATTTCTCTGCAGCAAGCTCAGGGCGATCTCACAGAAGGGAGACTGCAGAGAAGGCTGTCTTGCAAAGAGTACCCTGAGCTGTGTGACCAGAGCCATCACTTCCCCTCGCTGATCCTTCCTCATCTGTAACCAAGGGCGAGTTATCTCTGTGAGCTACCCAGAGGATCACAGCAAACTCACAGGGTGCTCTTGAAGACTTAACATTTTTCAGTGCAATTCGGGGAGGTCTACGGCACAGCACCAGCCCCTACTTGAAGCCATTCAGATTGTAACATTAGAATGCTACATCTCCTGCAGTGACAAACTGTGGCAAGGCAGGACTTGAGATTGTCTTGATTAGAATCAAGTGCAGAGAAAGTCAACATGGAACAAAAAATGAGGATAGTGGCCTCTGATTGACCCCAGGGTTTGAGAGGTGGTGCCAGCCAGTGCTGAGTTGTTAATGCATCAAGGCTTATTAAGTAATTATTTAATAAACAGAACTGAGAGATATTTCTTTTGACCGAGCGGCTGTGTGAGACAATTGGAGACACTAACAGTGCTAGGAACCAACAGGATGAAGGAAGGGCTAACCTAGCTTGTCAGGCTGCAGGAAGACTGAGTGAGGTGTTTTGTGGGAAGCAATTTGACAATTCTGAGGGAGGGGTGGCAGCCTTTCTGTACAGGCACAGCTAGAAAATAGTTCAGTTTTTGCACAAAACCTGTGTTGCAGCTACTCAGCTCTGCCCCAGGTAAGAACAGCAAGGTACAAAATCAGCCAGAGACATCATGTCAAAGAATGGGTGTGATGGTTTCCTAAAAACATTTTAATTACAAAAGGGACCATGGGCTGGGATTGGCCACCAGAGTCTTATTTGGCCAACCTTGGGTCTAAAGTGTATTATGAATGAATAATGCCCATATGCACAGAAGCTGGAGAGAAATATCTGAGACTTTTTATATTTTTTAATGGAAAGAAAGGAGCCACCTGAAGCTTCTATCCAGGAGAGAGAGGGGCATTCTTATAAACCTGTTTGGACAAGTGTGTGAAAGTGGTCCCTTTCCCTGAAATTACCCAGATACTGATTGTGTTTGAACTTTGGTCTACGATTGTAGGCAAATTCCAGCAGCAACCTAGCAGGGATGTTTCCCATCTGTAAGTTTGGGCAGTAAGTTCTGAAGTTGACGTCTGTGTCACTTTCTTGGTGATCATTTTTATGGCGTCTTATCAAAGAGAACTGCAGTAGGCAGGTTGGGAGACAGGCAATGAAAAGAATGCGGAAACATAAGAAGTTTCACTGCAGCTTGTACTTAATTGTTCCTAGCAGGTGGCACATTTTATATCCTGCCTTTATCCCACAAACACCTCTGGAGCCTGGAAAGCTTATGGTGATTGACCTTGAGGCTTTTCCATGAGCACTAGGAGCAGGGACACAGAGTACCCCATGAATCCTTAGGCCAGTGTGGCCTTACATAAAGCCTCATGAGACATATTATCTCTCTTGGGCTTCTCAGCACTCTATAAAGTATAAAGCACTCTTCTCTCAGCTTCTCAGACATATTATCTCTCTTGGCTTCTCAGCACCCCCCCTCCCCATTTTACAGATAGAGGAGGTGAGGCTCATAGAAGCTAATACATTGGCTCACATGAGCAAGTCATCTAACGTGCTTAGACTTCTACAATCTCATCTTTAAAAGGCTCTACAAGTTTCTCTCCAAAACTCCTGTGACTTTAGCTCAACCCACACTCAGAAAGCACTAGAATCCAGCGCTCTAGGGAGCAGAGTGGCTGTGAGTGTGTCCAAACCCAGAGGCAGTTGTGCACAGGGAAGGCTAAGCAATGCTTCTCCTGCCATGGGGAGGCGGGGGGAGGGCATGGGGGTTGGCATCGCCCGGGCACATCTCAAGTGTCAAGTCTACTTTGAATTCCATAGTGTGAATCATTAACTTTCGAAGTTAAAGCATCGCAAAAGATGAAATTATCCTTTTGGCACTTATCAAACTGTGCTCATGACCTCTTCTGTTAGGTTATAGTTTTGTTTCTGACTGTGCAAATGTCACATAATGCCACCACACTGACACTATCTTCTTAGCAACAGATCATAATAAAAGTCCCTCGGAGGTTGCTTATATTTCAAACACACATGGAAAGAAAAAATGCAGAGGGCCATCTAAAATGAAAGCAAGCCACAAGCTTCATATTTCATTTGCAGCCAGTGGTTTTAACATGCTCTTGGGCTGAGAGGTGAGTAATTAGCATATGCTCTAAATTAACATTTTTCTGGAACAGTGAAGTGCTTCTGGGTCATTTAAAATGGCTTGTGTCTGTCTTAATTCCCTTATCCTAGCAGCCCTTAACTTGACATCCATCAAAACACTTAAGATAAATAAGAATGTGTGTTTATATCTTTGCACTTGCATAAATAAACACTGGATGGAAAAAGAAGGAATTACTTTAAATGGTTATCAATCTTGTTGGTGGCAGCAGGGTGAAGGAGCAGGGGAGAGAGTCACTTGGTTATTAAGTGCAAGAGGGGAGCTTTCCATGGCAGGGACCCCAAGGGGACCCAGTAGCTTCACAAAGCCAATTTTTTTTAAAGCAGTCCTTTCTAAGTTAACTTTTGGATAAATGTAAGTTATTTCACAATGTTTTAGGAAGACCCAGAAATCCCCTGTACCTGGAGGCTAGCAAAAACGCATCTTACATCTTGCAGCTGCATTTAGAATATGGTGAGTCCTAGATTCTCTTTTGAACTTAGATGCAAGGTCATGGGTCTCCAAAGATAGGCTCATTTTGTTATCAGGGGGCTTCTTTAGCTCCCCCACTGCCCCCCCCCACCTCCCAGGTCACACTCTCTGGATAAGAATTCTGCAATGTTTGAAGGACCTAAGGAAGAAATGTGGCTTGGGAGCAGCCCACTAGAGCCCCGGGGGCTTTTCCCACCATGGTGAGCCCTAATCAAGGTCTCCCAAGTGTCGGCCAGGGTGGGTGCAGCGCTGCAGACACTGAACTCTGGAGGGAGCATCAGCAGAAGTCACAGCCAGAGCGGCTCAGCAGCACTAAGGAGTGGCATGACCTGTGCTAAGAGGACAAGCTATTTTATTCAACTGCTGACTTCTTCATCCATTTCCTATTCATTCCCTTCCCCGTTTCTCGCTGGTGACTCAGAACATTTATAGTATAGGCATTTGGTGAGATTGTGTCCCGTGTGTACTGGATGTATTTTCATGTAGCTCAGCTGATAATATACTTCACTCTGCTTCTGTTGTAAACATCCAACCACAAAGCTTTGTGCTTATCTTGACTTTGACTTCTAACCACTGCCCAGTTCATTATAGTGTACGGCAAGTAAAAAGCAGTTTTAAAAATATTATGCTGGAAAAATGTGCAGAGCAGCCAGCGTGCAAGCCCTGCCAGGGACAGGGGACCGTGAGGACAGAGCTCTAGGTCCCTATGGGGCAAGCCGCCAGGAGGGTGCTCTCTGCAGAGACACACAGGTAGGGGCGGTCTGCCTGGGGGTGACTGCTGTGTGTGGGCTTTCTCAGAGGGGAGGGACCCTGGCTCCTGCTGACAGGGGCGGAGGACCAGGAGGGACGTACCCACTTGGGCATCTTGCCGCCATCGGGGTCATGATGGTGGTACTGCAGCACGATCACTGTCACAACCACAGAGAGGCCCACGATGATCATGGTGCTGGCAAAGTATTGAGCTGTCAAGAGAAAAGATGCAGAATGAGACCTGGGCCTCCTGCACCCAGGCCACAGGTGCCCAGGGCTGTGGGTCTCATGCTCTCTGACTGTCAGGGATGCCGGAGGGCAGGGCAGGGCAGGACTGCCAGAAGGCGGGGCAGGGCTGCCTCCAGCTTGCAGAACACCACCCACATTCCCAGTGGGCAGTTGCAGACCTGCTGTTCCAGCCTGGAGAAGGGTCCAGCTGAAGACCATTCCCTGGACTCCCTCCTCCTGCCATGAGCCTCCACAGTGCCTTGCAGGATGCTAGGGAGATTGTACTAGAATCACCTGTGAGATCACAGGTGGGCACACCTGGTCATCACTTGGCTGTCTTAAGCATTTGTGGCATGAGTATGGACCATGAATCTGGCCCCACCTACTGAGAAACACTGGGAAGTCAGTTGTTCCTCACGAGGAACAGGTTCTGGGCAGGGGCTTTCAGACTGAGAACATTAGCTTCAGCACTGATGGACAAGAATCTATTTCTCTGCCTTGCCCCAGGTAAGAACAGCCTGTAGCATCTGAAAGAGCTTCTCCCCAATTCCCTGACAGATTGCCTTCCTTCTATGAATTTGGACAGGCCAAGCAGTCTCTCCGGACTGCAGGTTCTTTCCCAGTACAATAGGAATGGAAAGGTCTGCTTTGCAGGGTTGGTGCTGGGATTGGCAATTATATGGGTGAAGGGCCAAGGAGAAAGCCTGGTGGAGTGGAAGTCATGAGGCCTTGGGTTGGCTGTCTGCTGAAGGAGTCAGAACTCTAAGCAGAACATCCTGGCCTAGGAGGCTAAGTGAACAGCCACATGGCTGGTCAAGAGCACCGTCCAGGTAGCAATAACTCACTGCTCTCCCATGGAGACAAAGAAGCTTCTAGTCGCTCCCAGAGGTGGACATTTGAACTTAAATCAGCATCAGGATGGGGAGGAGAGTGGAGCAAGACATGTAAGTATGGGCTAAATCATGTCCCCCTAAAACCTATAGGTTAAAGCTCCAAACTGCAATGCCCGTATATAAGACAGGGCCATTAGAGAGGTATTTAAGTTAAAGGGAATGGGCTTTGATCCAGCTTGACTGGTATCTTTTGTAGGATCGGCTTTCCCCAAAATGGTCACATAGGTTTTCCCAAGATGTCCAGAGCAGGTTTTTTCTAATACGGGTCACTCAACATGTGGAGCTACTGTCCCTGAAGGCCCTAGAGCCTCAGGAGAAACTACTACCATTATCTTAAATAATGAAGATTACTCCAGAAATAACCATTTTCATCTAAGAAGCCTATCTTAACCAGAGGCAGCGTTTTGTCCTGTGAAGTCATCTTCTCTTCATCTCATGAGCCCCCTCCTCTTTCCTCGACACCCCAGGCCCCTATCCCATCCTTAGTTCAGGACATAAACTTTCACTTTATCCCATTTATTTTAGAATTTACAACCATTTAACCCATTTAGCCATTTACAACCATTTAAATTCTCCATAGATATGTAAATTAAATTTGTTCTTTTCTCCTAATGATCTGGCTGACATTAATTTATTTGTTCTACCAGCCCAAGAAGAACCTAGAGGAGTGGGGAGTTCCTGCCCTCTATTCTCACACCTTATAATAAAGGAAACCAGACACACATAGAGGAAACGCCTTGCGAGGTCACATGGAGAATATGGCCATCGGGAAGCCAAGGAGAGGCCTCAGGAAAAACCAGACCTGCCCACACCTTCATCTTGGACTTCCAGCCTCCAGATCTACTGTCAGGTAAGCCACCAGTCTGCAGAATTTTATGATGGCATCCCTAGCAGGTGAAAACAATGACCTATGGGGGAGTTCAAGGTCAAAGGACCCCACCAAATCCCAAACACAGGTGTCAGAGGCTGGCAGATCTGATATGCCCCCACCCAGCCTTTCTCATGGACTCACTGCTGAAGCAGGGTCTGAGAATTCCCCCTAAGGGTACTTTCTGCTGCAGGTCTCTGATGAGAGCCCTGTGTTGACAAGAAGAAAGAAATGGGGTCAGGGCACTGCCTGGTGGCACAAGAGGTTAAGATGCAGCACTATGAAGCTAATCGCAGCCACTGCAGCATGAGTTCAATCCCCAGCCAGGGAGGTGACCTACATGGTGCAGCAGACCTCTCCTGTCTCGCCTGCTGCTCCTCTTAGCAGTATACTTCGGTCAATCTGCCTGTTCTGTTCCCTACTCTGTCTCTGGTGGATCCTCTCACTGCAGCACCCCTCCCCCCCCCACACAACTCAGCTCTTGTATGCATAAATAAATCTTTTTTTTTTAAAAAAAAAAGAAAGAATTGGGGTCAGACCCTCAAGGTGAAAGGTGGGTCCTGGCTCTCTGATACTAAGACATATACCACACCCACAAAGGCTTTTAGGAAACAATGGCTAAGATTCAAGTGTTTGCTCCTTTTATCTTAGCAAAGGATTTGTGGAAAAAAGATGACTGAAGCAAAAACAATGAATCTCTAATGGTAAAACCTTTAGGACAAGCTTCATGGGGGAAGGAGGCAACTTAACACCCAATCATCAAGCAGGACTGCCCTCTGCCCCCAGGTGCCCAGGTGAGCAGTCATCTCATAGCAGAAAATAGCCGGTGGCTCTCACAGACCTGAGGACACATTTCTGCTCCGAGAGCCAGGAATCCTGGACACCCTCTAAGGAGCAGGGCTCGCTTACCTATCAGGGGCACTGAGTCGGATGTCGCAGGCATGATCTCAGCCACCAGCAGCATGAAGACAGTAAGAGAAAGTAAAACCGTTATCCCTGAAACATAAACACACAGTAGCACCTGAGCAGAAGTGATGATGAGGCCTGATCCCATCAGACCTGGGCCTGAGGTTCAGAGTCCTGAGAAGGGATGGCAGGAGGGTCTGCGATGTTCCTGAAACCAAGTGCGGGCTTTTCTGATCATATGGGCACAGGAATTTATCCTAGAGGTGGAGCCAAGTGTAGGAGCCAGACCTCTAGAGGAACACACAGAGAGACTAACCGATTTCAACACAAGTGTCTCTAGCTCGGGTAGTAGGGAAACATGCAGGCCGAGGTTCTGGCTCTTCATCTTGACTTGGCTACTTATTAGCGGTGTGGCTTTGGAGAAGTCATGTAACATGGCTGAACCCGAGAGTTAACAGATACAGCTTTGATCATGTTTTCTACATGTACTAAAGATGCTCCTTAATAACTATTTGAGATGTTGAAAAAGTCAGTCCCATTCCATTCAGTTCCTTATCTTCCTATTGGATGTTCATAAGGACTTGCACTGTGAGGCAATAACCCAATGCAAGCAGACACTAGACTAAGTCAACCAAATACCAAATCATTTCCTGGCCACAAGGTGCACTGGCCAGTCTCCCCCAGGGAGAAGGTGGAGCAGCAATGAGCCAGAAAGCACAGGCCTCTGGGGCAGGACCAGGTGGCCCGGGCATCTCCTTCCTCTTGTGGGATCAGAGGTTCCTCCGTATCTCAGGAGGATGCGGCCTTCTGCACGAAGTCTAAATCTGCAGCCTGTGTCTCCAGGAGACACCCTGGGCCAGGAGTTCAGTAAGCTGTGCTCAGTGGGCCCCGGCACATTGCCGCACCCAGATCCCCGATGACCCCTAAACTGTGTACAGTGAGCCCCAGAGCTGACCTCAAGGCAGGGTCCCCCCATTCCATCTCAGACTCTCACCAGAGATCCCGGCACTTACCGAGGGAGATTTTCTCCCCGGAGTCTGCAGGGAGCAAGAAGACTAGTAGGGCCAGGGCAGAGATGAGCACGCAGGGGATGAGCAGGTTGAGGCCATAGTAGAGGGTCCTGCGGCGGATGGTCACTGTGAAGGTGACGTCCGGGTAGGGCTCCTTGCAGCACTCGTAGAACTTCTCACTGCGTTTGCCGGGGATTCCTCCATGGGGGTGGGGGGGAGGCGCGGGGAGGGAGGGGGCATTGTTTGAATAATTACCCTGCTTGGTTTTTCATTAAACTTTATTTTCTTATATCATCATTCATTTTTGTACAGTATTTGATTTTTCCCCTCAGGTGTAGTCCCTGTAAATCTCCCACCACCATATTAATGTTTATACCACATTAACACAGGCATGGGGTCTGCTAAGTGCTAAAAAAAAAATAGTGGGTAACCAGTGTTTGAAAAAATGCTTTCTGGTTTATTATGGAATTGTTTGGAGTATCTTAGTGATATTTGAGTAAATTGGCAGGTTTATTTTTCATGGATTGAAATTCTCTGTGTCATAGACGGAATGTTTGTGTCACCCCAAAATGCGTATATTGAATCCTCATGTACAGTGAGAAGGTACTGGAGGTGGGCCCTTGGGAGGTACTTATTAGGTAATAAGGGAGAAACTCTCATGAATGAGATTCTCATGCCCTTATAAAAGAGGTTCCGGAGAGTTCCCTCGTTCCTTCTGCCCTGTGAGGACCGGTCAGATGACAGCCCCCTGAGAACCAGGAAGCCATTCCTCATCAGTCACTGAATCTGCCAGCACCTTAGTCTTGGATTTCCCAATCTCCAGAACAATTAGAAATGCATTTCTGTTGTTCATAAGCCACCCAGTAGAGCTGATTATATAGCATTCTCTTACTGCTGCAAGAGAATGAATCCTGACCTGCCCAGGACACTATGATTATAGATAATATACTGTGAATGTCACACCATTGTAAATGCAAGTATTGTTTTTCTATTTAAAATGATTAAATGCATGTTCCTGTCATTGCAATTTGCCTCCTACCTGATTTTAGGGGTGGAGTGGATCTGAACACTATCGGGACACCTCTGCTACCAATGCCTTGTCCAAATGTGTCCTCACCCTACTGCACATTCCTCGGGAAAGCACTGAGTGTTTGAATTGTCTTTTGTTTCTCATCACATAAGGGCTCAATAAATTATGGAGAATGCTGCAGTGTTTTCTACACGCTCACACTACAAGTCTGAACATCCAAAACTAAGCTGGCGTAGGAACAGCACCACTTTCCTCCAGGCTGCTGGGCTTGGGGCTCTGCAGGGCTTACCCACGAGGTCCCACTCTCCATTTGGGATGTAGCCGCTGATGTCCGCCTCCTGCATCTGGAGATCCAGGGACCACCCTCCATAGGACCAGGACCCGAATTTCAGTTTGCACTGCTGTACGTCGAAGGGGAACCAGCGCACATCGATGTAGCAGGAGCTCTTGAATATGCCTACGTGGGCAAGAGACAAGGGACTGTGTTGATGGCGCATGGGTGAACTGGTGGTGGAAATTCTATGGGGACTACACCTGAGAAAAAAAAGCAAACACTGTAAAAAAAAAAAAAAGAACAATGATATAAAATGCATATAAATAAATAAACTATAAAAAAAAGTGAGGGGGACCAAAACGGAGGCTGAGTAGATGCATGCGCTTTAAATACCCAAAGCAGTGCCACCCTGTTCCAGGAATGTAAATTAGTACCATCATTATGGAAACAGTATGGAGTTTCCTCCAAAAAATAAAAATAGAGCCTACCATATGATCCCGCAGCCCCACCCTGGGGCTCTATCCAATGGAAACAAAATCACAGTCTCAAAGAGACATCTGCACCCCCTTGTCCATTGCAGGCATCACTCAGCAGCCAAGATATGGAAATAAGCTTAGTGTTAATGGATGAATGAATAGAGAAAAAAGTATATAAATCATACACAAGCACACACATATACAATGAATATTATCCAGCCATAAAAAAAGGAAGTGAATCCTGCCATGTGGGGCAAAGTGCATGCACCTTAGGGGCATTATGCCAAGTGAAATAAGCCAGAAGACAAATACCACATGTTCTCATTCATAGGTAGAATCTTTGTTTTTTTCTTTAAAGATTTATTTTATTTACTTATGCATACAAGAGCTGGGGTGGAGGTCAGAGGTGCGGGAGCGAGGCGGTGAGGATTCACCAGAGACAGAGTGGGGAGCAGAACAGGCAGACTGACTGAAATACACTGCTGAGGGGAGCAGCGGGAGAGACAGGAGAGGTCTTCTGGAAAAAGAAAAGTAAAGCTCATGAAAACTGGTGGTAGGATGGTGGTGGCCGGGGCGTGAGGGCGGGCAGATTGGGCTGACACAACCTTTTGTTGTAAACTGACTAAGTCCTGAGAATCGAATATGCATCCTGGCGACTACGGTTAGTTGACATCATATCATTTACCTGAAGTTTTGTAAGACTGTGGCTCTTTGACGTTCTCACCAAAAAAATGCTGTTTGAAAGAAATACCTCCCTATGTTCATGGCAGTGTTATTCACACTAGCTGAGACGTGGCGACAACCTAAATGCATGGGTGACCGGATAAAGAGCGTGTAGTAGATGCACTCAACAGAATATAGCTCAGCTATTAAAAAAAAAAAAAAAAGCATGAAATCTTGACTTTTGTGACCACAGGATGGAACGTGAAGTGATTATGGTAAACGAAGTACATCAGGACGTGAAAGACAATTATCGATGGCTTCTCTCCTGTGGAATGTAAATAGCCAAACCAAATGAACTAATGAATCACAGCAAAACAACTCTAAGTCAGATAGCTCCATCCTGCCCCCACCAGCACAGACACGGGCACAGTGTCATGTGCCTTGTGCTGACCAGGCTAAGGGGCCACATGGGGAAGGACACAGGGACTGTCCCCGGGGGGCTGCGGGACACAGGGATGGAGCCTGGGGACTGCTGCTCATGCATAGCTTAGGGGCCAGCAGCACTGCTCCCTTAACGGAAAATGGTCTCGGCCTCCAAGGCAACCTGCAGTCCATGTTCTTCTACTTGACAACTGCTGGGGTCACATCCTCAGACAGTCCTCACCACAGAAGCTGTGCCACACAGGCCTGGTGAGAAAGAAAGAGACAGTGGCCCCTCCCACAGCCCTGCCCTGCAAGGGGCCTGGAGAGAGGGGAGCCTGCTTGGACTGGGGAGGGGAGCAGGCAAGCAGCAAGAGTGAATGTGTTGTAAGTTAGAAAACCTGAAAATCGGGAGTTCTTCAATCTATACAAACATGATTAGGAAGTATCTCCCCTTGATGGATTCAAACACTCATTCGTTTATCGAACAAGGGCCGGGCACTGTTGATGGGTGCTGGTTGTAAGGTGGGTAATTGGATTCTGCCCACAGGATGTTTATTGTCCGCTGAAGAGCAAGAGCATGTGAAGGACAAGCCAGAAGGCAGAGCAGCTTCATGTGTGCTGGGTGATAAGTCAGAAGGCCAGAGACCAAGAAAGGCTGCTAGAGAGGTGTGGTGTGTGTTTGCATGCATGTGTGTGATGAGTATATGTGTGGTTTTGAGCATGCGTGTGTGTGATGAGTATATGTGTGTTTTGTGTGATGCATGCAATACATTTGTGTCTTGTGTTGTGTGGCACGTGTGTATAAGTGCGTTGTGTGTGGGGGTATGTGTATATGTATTTAGGTGCATAGTATATCTATGTGTGGTGTATATGTGTGGGAAGTGATGTGTGTGTGAAAGGGTGTGTATATGTGTATGGAATGGAGCAAGGTGTGGTGTGTTTGTGTATGGTGTGGTGAATGTGGTGTGTGTGTGTGTGTGGTGAAGTGGGGGTGGTTGCAACTTAACTGAGAGGAAGAAATTAAAAATATAGTCACAGTGTGTTTGTCTGGGAAAGATAATGCTGGAAAAATACTTATAAAAATTATCTAAAAGATTTTTAAAAACCTGTCAACATCCAAATAGCTCAACACCAGAAACCCAGATTTTCTAAGCTGTGGACAACTCACTGAGCATCCCGGGGCCCTGTGAGCTGACTGAGGTGATAGGCAGGTGGGGAAAGAATCGGAACCAAGAGGCAGTTGACCATCAGCAGGTCGGGAGGAGGAGAGAAGCTCAAATAGGACCAAGTAGCTAATGGAACCCCGCTTTGAAACCACTCGATCTGGAACCTGACACACAGGAGCTCTTTACGCAGACCCAGCAAGTTCACCACCCAGCCGACACACGGAGAGCGGCACCTGCCGAGCCCCCCGTCTGGTGGGAAGGAGAAGAGCCTGAACAGAGAAGGAGCAGCCTGGGTCTGGCTCATGGGGTGCAAAGGAGACCTGGAAACCGCCTGACAAGGAAGACTGGCTTCCATTGTGCATGGACTTTTAAAGGCACAGAGACAATGAAAACACACAACACAGGGTGATACAGAAGCTCAAGTCATTACTCCCAGACTTGAGCAGGAGGCAGGAGGTGCAGCCACAGTCAGGAAGATGTGGGTGAGGGCAGAGCCAGGGACATGGGGGGCTCGGAGGCAGCAACTGCTGGCATGAGCACCCAGTCGTGTTGCCCACCTGTAGGTGCGTGAAGGGAGTGGACCTTACCTGGAGGCAGGTACTGGCAATGCCCAGAAGAGTTCACTAACACGTTGGTGTGGAACGTGGCGTCAAATCGTTCATCGGCACTAGAAACAGGAAATGGGTTTCATGAGCCAGGTGAGGCTTTCCTGGGGCCCTCGTGGCAGCTGCCACCAGGGTTGGAGCCTTTTTGGGAGGCCTGGCAGCCCCTCACTTGCAGAGGTCAGACTGGAGGGGACCCTCATCCACCCCCATTTCATAGGAACCACGATTTTTCCAAGCATGTAAAACACAGTTCTTGGTAAAAAGGAAACCTGAAGACTATTTAGAACATCAGCAGATGAGAAATTCTCTCTATAGGAAACAAGGTGTGGGTGGGTGCACCCTGCCTTCCTGTCACCAACATGAGGGTGGGTTTTTTTTTTTTAAAGATTTATGTATTGATTCATACAAGCACTGGGTACAGTCAGAAGTGCAGGAGGGTGAGAGAATCCACCAGAGCCAGAGAGGGGAACAGAATAGGCAGACTGACGAAGTACACTGCTGGGGGGAGCAGCGGGCATGGCAGGAGAGGTCTGCGTGCCATGTGGGACCCTCACCAGCGGCCAGGGATCAAACCAGCACTGCAGAGGCTGTGGGCAGCTTCACAGCCCAGCGCTCAACTGCTGCACCACCAGGGGAGGCCTATGAGGGTGGGGTTCTGATGCACTATCTTCAAAGCTTTAGTTCTGCCTCCTGAATGGGGCCCATTTTGAATGGCAGAAGTTGCAGGCGCAGGACAGCAGAGCCCAGAGGGGTCCTGGAGGCATGATCAGCAGTGACACCAGGGAGGACAGGAGCAGAATGAGGGCACCGTTTAGATGCCTGCACCCTGGTGTCCTCCCCTGCCTGGCTTCAGTACCTCCTGGAACCAGGAGTTACCCACGTGAATAAACTGGAGGTGGGGGGCACAGGACAGGAGCAAGAATAGCAGTGAAGACCAACAGCTCTTATTAGCCATGTCTTCTATTTTCTGTATTCTGATGCTTAGACATCCCAGGTGTTGCTGACCTGGAAGGAAGTGTCTCCTTACCTCCACCCCCATGGGCTGAGCTGCTTGATTGCTAAAGATGATATATAATTCACTCATCAGCACCCCTCTTCAATACAAACCAACCGATTCGGAGCCCACAGCCCAACCTCCTCCATGATAGGGCTCTTACACTCTCAGTGACAATCCACCTGCCCTAATCATCCCAGGACTAGACACGAGACAACTTGGCACAGCCCCTCTGCCCTAGAGCCTGATCTTGTTCAAATTGGCCAATCCTAGGCCTGCTGACTCTGTCTTGCAAGCAAGACCTGAGGAACCCACAAGAAAGGCTCTTGCTCTTGTTTGGTCTCATCCCTCTGCCTCCTGACTCGCCCCAAGGCTTCCCCAGTGACCCTGAGGGTGTGCATGCCACATCTCCAGTTTCTCAGGATCTCTGAGCACAACAACTTATTCCTTGTGACAGTAGTTTTGGTGCCTGCATGTCTTACCATGCCTGGTTAAAATAAATTCTGAAGACCCTGAAAATCCAGTCCTGTGTGTAAACAAAACATTTATGAAACTATATAAAAAATCAAATTAGGCAGCCATTTCAACCACAGAGTATAACGTCCCCCCCATAGCAGCCAATGGGGGGCCGACAGTAATGACGATAGTAATGACAATAATAATGACCGCCCACTTCCAGAGAGACTCTGGCAGCCTTTTCTGCTCCTAGGGTCCTCTCAATGGAGAAAACTCAGAATGAGGAGATATTTGAGGACAGCCTTCAGCAGGAGACACAATCAAGAAGAGATGAGGATCTGAGAAGAGAAGGCCAACGAAAGGGATGAAAAATTACTTCTTAAAAATGTAATATCCTCACAAAAATTTGAGAGGATATTGCATTTAGAAAAACAAAGAGCAATGTGGAAGTTAAAATATGATTTATGAACTGCACTTTTATAAGTGGGTGGCAGGTTTAGTTGATAAGAGTCCCAGAGGTGAAATGCAGGGCAGGGTAAAGGCCCCTGGGAAACTCACTTATAGAAGTTCCATCAGGAGACAACAGGGTGAGTGAGTAGGAGAGAATGACTAGAGACACCAGAGACATTTTCTAGAGCTAAAGAAACCACTTATGTATAAAGGCAAAGAGAGGCATTTTCAGGAAGATGAAGGCCTCCGAGAATTTATTTCCCACATATATTTTCTTGGTCATGGACTTGGAGATCAGCTCCAGAAAAATGGTGGTGAATATTAAGAAGAAAGAAATTTTTGGACTAAATCGAGAGATTGAAGAAGGAGGTTTCCATGTGGAACTGGGCAGCAGGCTTAGGAAAGGGTGGGTCCAGATCACCACCAGATATTGGGGCTTCCGAGGAGAGAGAAGAACCGTGGAGAAAAGAATCACCTGCTAGAAAACAGTATGGATTTGATGATGGACACATTATCAAACATTAAAAGAAAGAAAAAAGGCAACCAATATCTCCAGGAGCAAAAACTGTACAAGGAAGTCATCCTTTGAATTTGAAACAAAAACATGATGAAGGGGCCTCCCCGGAGGTGCAGCAGTTGAGTGCTGGGTTGCGAAGTTGCCTGCAGCTTCTGAACCGGTTCGATCCCCGGCCACCGGTTGAGGGTCCCACATGGCTCGCAGACCTCTCCTGCCACCCGCTGCTCCCCTCGGCAGTGTATTTTGTCAGTCTGCCTGCTCTGCTCTCCGCTCTGACTCTGGTGAATTCTCTCGCCCTCCCGCGCTTCTGACTGTACCCAGTGCTTGTATAAATAAATAAATAAATCTTAAAAAAAAAAAACCCACAACATGATGAAGCTTCAAGAAAGGAGGGAGAGAAAGGATGTGGTCACAACTTTGGGGTGAAAAAGGACACATTCACCCCCTTGCTCGCAAGCCCATGCCGGGAGAGACAGATAAGAGGGAAGGCTCAAGGCATAAACCTCCTTTTCTTGACTACAATCTGTACCCAACTATCTCCCTGCATCACATTATAAACAGTAACTGGGCCAAAATATCCGAAATATCAGAAATTCACTTTGGCTCTGACTGTGATTTTCAAACGAGGTCCTCTTGAGCCTGAGATTCTGAGGATCTGCTTAGAGGTTTCTGCAAATGTTGATTCCAATATTTTAAAATGTTAACAAGAGTTCAACACACTTGATCACTGTTTACAAAATTTTAACTCCTCAGAGCTGACCAGTGGATTATCATATTTTATATTTAACTCCCTTTTGGGTGGAAGTTAAACTAAACATTCTCTTGTCATGAGTGTGCATATATTTGAACTTCTTGGAAATGAGTCACCCAATATGATTTCATTTTTGCCTGGTTCTTAAAAAAAAAATCCAAAACCCCCACTTTGGGCCTACAATCCCAGCACATAATTTGCACCTGGCCTGGCACAGGTGTCACTGCTGTGGCACCAACAACAGAAAGGGTGACATCCGACATGGCCCGGGATGCACAGTTTTGTCTATTTTATGTTTGAGTTTCTTCTTGCCTGATTTTTATATTTATAATCAAAATTGTGAGCATCTGTTAGATCAGTGATTCAATCCTGGAAAGGAAAAAAAATCCTGGTTTTTCTTCCACGAATCTGGATCAATTTATTTAGAGACTCTGGAGTTCAAAAGGAAAATGGTTAAAAACAAGATAAAAATCTGTTGTCATTAGCAACGGCTTACCTTTGTGACTTGGTGATATCTGAACTGGGTTCAACCAAAACAGAATATTGAGATAAATGGAACTATAAACACTGCCAGTGTTATCAAAATTCAAATCTTAATATTCATTATGGTGGTTTCTTATTGGCAAATTGAATTTATACGTAAATAATGTAGAAATAAACTCTTGTAATACATGCGTGTTCATCTTATTTTATCTGGTTTAACTATTAGGGTTAGAGATAAGGTTTGTTTGGATAAGGGCCAAGGTGCTAAAAATAGCTCTCTAAGTCACAGGATAAAGTCCCTGTCCCTGGAAACATCCGCAGCTAAAACCACAGCAGGGACCCAGGAGGCAGTGCTATCAGGGCACACGGGGTGGGTGGTGTCCAGCAGGGGTCAGTAGACAGTGACCCTGAGGCCACATGATATTGCAGCCTGGCAGTGGCAGGCTGATAGCCATCACCGTACATGCTGGGGCCTGCATGGGACTCAAGTTGCTCTTTTCTTTGCTGTCTTGTACATTTGAAAATTTCAGCAGTAAACAGTTTAGCAATAGTCAGGAATATATTTTTGACTGCTGGCAACAGGATTACCCTCAGAATTCTCGAGAACAAGGCACATGGCCTCTTCCTTACCTTCCAGAGCTCCTCTCTCTCACCCAACCAGCAAGTTCTGGTCCCACCACAGATGGGATGACAAGGGCAATTGGATATTGGACACTGAAAAGTGACTATGGAGGGCAGGGAGGAGTCTTTAACCCAGACATTCAGGGTGCAGATCCTGCATCCTTAGTGGGGTGATCAGGAGGAGGTGGTGCTAAAGATGCACAGACATCTTGCTTGAAAAGGAAGATGGGATGGGGTGTCCCCAGCACAGGACGTGGTATGTTCACACACCCGGAGGTAAGCCAGAACGAGGGGGACTTCCTGAGGTGTGGTTCACCTGGGCCATGGGGTGTGTGAAGTGCTGTCCCAACAGTAAGAGGGACTTGAGAGCAAGTGGAGGGCAGTGCTGCCAGGGTGGGTTGGGAGGGTGTTCAGGGGCCTAGTTCTCCTGGGATTACAAACTGTGCTTTCACACAGCAGTGGCAGCACAGGCAGACATTGCTCACAGGGCAAAGGTGAACCCTGAGGGCCTGGCTTAGCTCTTCCTCTCCCTCTTCCTTATCCCCTGGGTCCATGCAGGGCCTAATCTGGCCTCTGATCTCTGCTTAATGCAGCTTCTTGCTCAGCTGACTCTGCAGCATTGACCCCCAGCTCTGAGCATAGAGGGGTTCACCCCTAAACCAGGGAAGAGTAAGCGTCTCACAGAGATGAAGTCATCTCACTCTAGTCTGGCTGTCAGTACCCTGAGAGAAAAGAACAGGGGGTCAGTAATGGGCAAAGCCCAGAGCACCAACCCCTGAGCACAGCTGCT